TATATATATATATAGAGGTGTGTGTATTAATTTAAACCTAAAATTTAATTACATGTGAGTATTGATGGTACCATAGAAAATGATCCTTGGATAATTTCTCCTTTTTATCACCGTGTGGACATGATGTTGTTTCTCTGAGTTGTTTAATTTGTCACGCAACGAATTGCAACCACCTTTTTTTCTTCACTAGCACTTTCATGTTTTTCACTTTGTCAAGTTAAAAAAGTAGCATGTGGTCAGACTTATTTGCACAGGGTTAATTGGTTAATGGCACACCTATGATTAAGTTGTGACTTTACTTGTTTGATGTATATATAGTTGTTTGGTTTTTCTTGGATCATAGTTTTAGATGGAAAGGTGTTGATGCCTTGATATTCAACTTTGTATGTAACTTTGTCTAGTGTTTACGGTATACACTGATGTTTCTGGTTTCTGTATATTAGCTTTCCATTTCCATAAGAGAGACTCAATTTCATCCATTATATATTATGATGTGAAATGTTTTGTTATGTAGTTATTATTGATATTAGTAACAAAAAGAGTGTGGCATGAAAGGTCACAGGAAGCAAAAGGGAGTTGTGTCTCAGCTTGTCCTTGAAGTTAGGATCTTTTTTTTCTCCCAATGAAACTTTTGCACCTGTACATTTTTTTTTCTTGTGAAATGAAGGATAAAGTGAGGAAACTTTTTTTTTTTTTTTTACACCATGTAGATACTAATTTTTATGGAGACTTGGAGGTCATAAAGTAAATTCTTTTTTTATCTTAACAAAAACTGAACTATCTAGTAACTGTAATATTGAACAATTGGAGATATGTTATATCCATGAACATGTGTGGTTAAGAAGATAAAATTTAAGGTACAACTGCTGGAGCTTGGCTTTATTACCCTTTTGAGCTTGGCTTTCTTGTCTCTGAATCGGTCTCTCTGCATTATGATGGTGGTTCCAGTGTTTCTGCTTCATTTATACATATACACACTTCTTATTCTTAACTAGTGTCGTGTTCTTAACTGGTGTCTTGTTAATGTTGTAGAGTATGGAAGTTATAAAATTATTATGGTGTATGCAGTTTATTTTTTACTAACACGAAAAAGACACTGTAAACCTATACACTATGTTAAAAGAAGTTTTTTTTTTGTAAATAATTATTAATGAGTAATTTTATGCAGCACTTATAATAAGATTCATAATACAATAAGTAAGACAAGAAAAAAATATTGATGCAAGAAAAAGTAGTTTTAAGAAGTTATAGAAAATAAACAATATTAAAATGAAAACCAACAATAGTTATTGAAAGGGTTATTTAACTTTATATAATGGTATGATATAGATAAATAATAATTTTTATTTAAATTAATAAAATAAAATTACTAAATTATCTTATATTTAGAGAGAAAAAAAGTGTATAGTTATCATAATAAATAGAGGATAAAAATATCTTAAAAATTATATATATAAAAATAATAAATTATCTTTGTATATTGTTACAGATTATAACTCATAATTAAATTAATGATTAAATTATACTTTTAATTTTTTTTTCTTATTTTTAAAATTTATTGTAGTATTTTATCTATTAAATATTCATTTTAATTTTTTATCTTTTATATTAATTTAAATTAATTTAGTCTTTCTAAAATAATTTTTTTTTTAATTTTGGAACACAAATTTGAATCAATTTTCAACTAATTCATCACATAAAACTCGTACCATTATATTTAATTATATAAAAATCATAAAGTTCAATTGACCTTCAAATTCGAATAACTATAAATATATAGTATAAATTATGTGAAAAATATATATGTCTTGTGAGCAACTAGAAAATGATATGAATAGATTTTTTGAAATTTTTATATTTTTTTTGAACTTGTTAAATTTTTGTCACGTTTATAACATATTTTATTTAAACTTTAATCAATTTCAATATTTTTTATATAAGTGAATATAGTAAAACAGGCTTTAAGTTTTTGATTAGTAAATTTTTTTATTTAAAGTTATATCTCAAAATTAAAAATAATTATTATTTCAAAATAATCAAATGACTCAAATTTGAGAGATGAATGACCAAAGTAAATATTTTAAAAAAATCAAAAATCAAAATAAATTTCATAAATAAGATAGATAATGAAAAGTATAATTTATCCTAAATTAATTTAGGAACGCATATAAAACAGTGTCGAGGGAGCATTCAACAATAAAATCAAGTCTCTTTGTTTGAATCGATCATCAACAAAAATTTTATGTAGGTGTTATTTTTTTCAAATAAACATTTCTTGCAAATTTATCATAATATTATAAAATGGATGAAAAAAAATAATCTAAACTTAATTAATTGACATAAAACAAAGTGTTGAAGGCGCATTCAACAATAAAATCAAGTCACTTTGTTTGAATTGATCATACACGTAAGTTTTATGTAGGTGTTATTTTTTTTTCAAACAAACATTTTTGCAAACTCAACACGGATATTATAAATTATGCTTAATTAGGGCACTTTTGTTCGAATCAGTAACCGTCTCTGCTTGAACAATAAGAACTATAAGCCAGTTATGTTAGTTAATTTCAGTTTCCAACTGTAAAATACAATTAGGGAATGTTAAACATTTTTTTTAGTGAAAAGTTTAAATTCATAATTTTATGTAAAACTAGAGCTAACTACTGTTTTTTTTAAGGAATTCCAGTATAATTACATATCATTTTTATCACCTTTTGCATAATAAGTTTACAGAGGATATAAAATACAAGAAAAAATGAATTTGACTTTAGATCCTATTAGTATGAGTGAAGATATTTAACTAGTTATATCATACTTAGGAGATTGGAAGTTAAACTTTAGTTGTATACTTTTTTCTTTAAAAAATTGCTTTAATTCTTAAGTGAGAGAATACATTTTACAAAGTAAAATACACTCCATCATTAATTAGTTAAAAAAATGCATGATTAAAATTATGATTATATATATATATATATAAAGAGAGAGAAAATATTTACTTATTACAAGAATATATCTATTAAAATTTTACTTATTAAGTCATGTTTTACATTAAATTTTAACGATTCAATCTTATAAAATTAATTTATAAAATAATAATTATTTTTTATTTATATACTTTTTAATTATCTTATTTTTAATCGATGTAAAATTTAAGTTTTTTTTTTTTTATTTTGTAGAAAGTTATCTTTCATTTTATATATATTGAGAGAAAGGGTTCTCTTTAAACCTTCATTATATATACCTGACCTTAACACATTTAATTCAAATATGAACAAAAAAATTATTATTAGATATTGTTGGTAGTTTTAATAAAGTGTGCATGAAAGGTAGCTAGCATTGTAACGAAAAGAGAAAGCACTAATGGGGAAAAATAACGATTATAATAAAGAGTTGGTGAGGGATGGTGATATAGTAGTGCTCTATAATTGGATTGAAAAGTCCCTTTCAAGCACTAAGAATGATATCAATTCATTCTAATTGGCTGAACCCTAAGTTCTGTCTTTTAACTGTGGACGATATTTTAACCTTTTCTTGGAGTTAATTTTAAAATCTTCAAAAAATTTGGAGCCAGCCTGCGACACATGGCGATATGTATTACTGACATTTAACCATTTGATTTGAAAACTTGCTGTCACAATCAGTTTCATTATTGGACATCAATCACATTCCATTTGACACCGATGCATGTACGAGGAGTATCTTGTCTTTGAAAATTAAAAATTATTGTATTTTTAATTTGAAAAAATAATGTAAAATAATCAGCATATGTTTAAGTTAATTTTCATATAGCTTTTATAGTAAATTATGATATAAAATAAACATGCCCAACATTTTTGCATGTGTACGTTGAGTTAATTTGTGATGATAAAAATATATGTAACAATAGTTTAGAGAAGCACTAGAAGTAGAAGGAGAGAATTTTTTAAATGAAAACTTGTTATTAATAAAGTTGATAGATATTTTATGTCAATAGAATATTAAATTTATATATGAAAAAAATTGTGCTTAAAAAGT